CATGGTAGAAAGTAGGAAGCCATCACGGGGCGGAGCGAGATGCAGAGAGCTCGAGCTAGAATACGCGGAAGCACCTCCCCAATAGCTACCGGCCTGACGTCGCCATTAGGCTTGGAAAGCCCGACTAGGTTGGATGCGGCGAGCCAGGGCCGAGCTCGCTCGTGGACCTGTCCTGCCACCCATTGGTTAAACTCCTCCAGCAGATGGGAAAGGCAAGAGGGCTCTGTGAGGAAGGTATCACGCAAATGCTCCGTGACCCACCCCGACGGCCCCGCAGCTGAAGCTCGAGCGACAGTATGGATAGCTCTGGCCAGTATGTCAGTCGTGAGCATGGGCCGTTGAGGAGCATCGACAGTGAAATCACGGACCCATTCTGGTACATCCTCGGCGCTAGCCGGATGCTTCCCCCGCAGTGACTGCACCATGGCCTCAGACGGTCTAGCCAAATCCCCTGCCGTAAGGCAAGCCAACCCACGGCTCCACTCGCCCACCGTACACCGAGATCGGCAACACGAAAGGCGTACAGCATCGGGGTCCTGGTCAGAGCAAGTGTAGGCGAGTGGACGAACTGCTGGCCGCGTCGCTGCCATGGCAGAGTCGAAGAGCTCCCGCCACCTCCCCTCCCAAAACGCCCCCAGCCGCTCCACGATCAGCGCCCTCTGGCCTATGCCCGGCTTGGAAGGCACAGCTAAGATGAGGCGCGGGAACGCCAAGAGTAGGACGGTAGCGGCTTCATCCCCCGGTCGGCTCTTCAAACGCTTCAAGATACAGCAAAGCGCGTCTAAGACTCCCGATCGAGCCCGTTGTGGGATCCGACGCACTGTCCTCCCTCCAACCGCGTCCACGCTAAAGAAAGCTTCCCATTCCCACGAAGTAACCCCGGCCCACACCTCGCCCCCAAATTCCCGCGGCGTCTATCGCTCCTGCGTGTCAGCCTCTACCAGAGAAGGAATCAATCCCAGAGCCTGTGCGCGCCTCTCTGCCTCAGCTGCCGGCATACCCTCATGTGGTTCGCTGCAGCCCTTCGCGTAGCAAACGTGTGGAAACACGTGTCACACGGAAAGCGGGGACATGGGGAAGGCGGCCTAGGAGGTTCCCCGTCCTCTTCTGGCTCCTCCACAGTCGCCATGGAGGTATCAAACTCCCAAAGTCGGCTCCACCCCTCTGACTGCTGCCCCTGTTCGTCTCCCGGCTGCCCCCCTAGCTGCTGCGCTCCCTGGGTTATCCCGGTCGCCCCCGGCGGCACCTCAGCCTGCTGCACCCCCGGGAATACCTCTGTCGCCCCCAGCTGCCCGCCTGGCTGCTGAGCCCCTTGAGGTACCTCTGTCGTCTCTGGCTGCCCCCCTGCCTGCTGCGCTCCCTGGGATGCTCCGGGCACCCCCAGCTGCCCCCCTGCCTGCTGCACTCCCTGGGGTGCCCCGGGCACCCTCGGCTGCCCCCCTGCCTGCTGCGCTCCCTGGGGTGCTCCGGTCACCCCCAGCTGCCCCCCTGCCTGCTGCACTCCCGGGGTACCCCGGGAACCCTCGGCTGCCCCCTTGCCTGCTGCCCACCCTGCAGTGCTCCGGTCACCCCCAGCTGCCCCCTGCCTGCTGCACTCCCTGGGGTGCCCCGGGCACCCCCAGCTGCCCCCCTGCCTGCTGCACTCCCTGGGGTGCTCCGGGCACCCCTGGCTGCCCCCTTGCCTGCTGCGCTCTCTGGGGTGCCCCGGGCACCCTCGGCTGCACCCCTGCCTGCTGCACTCCCTGGGGTGCCCCGGGCACCCTCGGCTGCCCCCCTGCCTGCTGCTCTCCCTGCAGTGCTTTGGTGACCCTCGGCTGCCCCCCTGCCTGCTGCACTCCCTAGGGTGCCCCGGGCACCCTCGGCTGCCCCCCTGCCTGCTGCATTTCCTGGGGTGCTCCGAGCACCCCCAGCTGCCCCCTGCCTTATCTTGCTCACGATGCTCACGATGTCACGATGCTCACGATGTCACGATGCTCACGATGTCACGATGTAATGTGTAATGATGCTGTGCTCACGATGTCACGATGTCACGATGCTCACGATAGTCACGATGCTCACGTTGCTCACAATGGTCACGATGCTCAAGATATTAGTAGATTCATTAGGAAAATTAGAAGCTAGATTGTTCAATGAACAGTAATACTATAACTAGATTATTCTAAAGGTTGTAAAGATATTTTGATTTCTTCTCAACAATATAGGATAATACAAAAAAAAAAACGTAAGAGCGCAACGACGCTACGGCGCAACGTAGCAACGACGCATGGAGCAAACCGTAATTTAGAAACTAGATTGTTTAATGCGTGAGAACGCGGGTGCGCGAGTGCGGGAGAGCGCGACAACACGAGTGCGCGAGTGCGCGACTACGCGAGTGCGCGACTACGCGAGTGCGGGACTACGCGAGAGCGCGACTGCGCGGAGCGCAAGAGCGCGAGTGCACTAGTGCGCGAGGGCGTGACTGCGCGAGTGCGCGACTGCGCGAGTGTGCGAGTGCGTAACAGCGCAAGTGCGCGACAGTGCGAGCGCGCAAGTGCGCGACTGCGCGAGTGCAAAATTGCACGAGTGCGCGACTGCGCGACTGAGCAAAAGCGCGATTGCGCGGAGCACGAGAGCTCGAGTGCACGAGAGCGCGTGTGCGTGAGTGCGCAAGTGCGTGAGTGCATGAGAGCGCGACAACGCGAATGCACGACTGCGCGAGAGCGCGATAGCACAAGTGCGCGAATGTGCGAGTGCGCGAGTGCGCGACTGCGCGAGTGCGTAACAGCAAGAGTGCGCGATGGCGCGAGCGCGCAAGTGCGCGACTGCGCGAGTGCGGGACTGCGCGAGTGCGCGACTGCGCGAGAGTGCCACTGCGCGGAGCGCGAGAGCTCGAGTGCACGAGGGCGCGAGTGCGCTAGTGCGCGAGTGCGCGGGAGCGCGACAGTGCGAGTGCGCGGGAGCGCGACAGTGCGAGTGCGCGGGAGCGCGACAGCGCGTAAACGCGACTGCACAAGCACGAAAGCGCGAATGCACGAGAGAGCGAGAGCGCGAATGCGCTTGTGCGCGAGTGCGCGAGAGTGCGAGTGAATGAAAGCGGGAGCAAGAGTGCGCTAGTGCGCGAGTGAACGAGAGCGGGAGCACGAGTGCGCTAGTGCGCGAGTGCGCGACAGCGCAACGGTATAACGACGCAAGGTATCGTTTCCTAGACACAATGTTTGTGCCTAGTCAAGATGTGTTTGAATATGCTTATAAAATCTCATTGAACAAACTAGTTTTTAAATTACTGGTTTAAATAATTCTAAAGGATCTTTTCAGATTGTGTAAATTTATAGAAAGTTGTTTGATTATTATGTCAAGATGACAGACAGGAATGAATGAACTAGCAGAAGGTTGGGTACAAGTATGAAACCCTAAAGGGGCTGTACCCCATATTGGCTACCCCACTATAGCCTACACATATATCACATATATATAATTTGACACACCCCCATAGGCAAAGTGGGGGAGAGCAAGGGGTCACAAGACCAGTCAAGAGAAACAAACACAAGTTCAAGGTGGATCACAATGTCACCACACACACTGAGCACAAGCAAAGGGCCACAAGGCCAGTTCACATGCAGAGGTATATATGCAACAGCAACAGTACAGTGATCACAACATAGCAAGAGCAAACAAGCCGGTATAAATATAGATCACAGTACAAGCAAGGTCAAGATGTGAGCAAGTGAGACGAGACTGGCACCAGGCCTAATAGAGTACACAGACGCTGATGATCACCAGACGGAAGTGCCTTGGTGAATATATCAGCAGTGTTGGCCCGAGTGTCCACGTGAACGAGACGAAGCTGACCACGCTGCTGCATCTCTAGAGCCAGAAAGTAACGCAGAGCGATGTGCTTTGTTCTGTGCTCCTGTCTGTGCTCCTCACACAAGGCAATGGTAGCCTTGTTGTCTACGTACAGAACTGGAGGGGAACGAGGCCGCTCTCCCAAGTCGGTCAGCAGGTAGGTGAGCTAGCGTAGCTCCTGTGCAGCCATGGCTGTGGCGTGGATCTCAGCCTCACAACTGGAACTGAGAACAGAAGACGAGCGGGTAGACCGCCAAGAAACATAGCGAGCCAGGATGCTAAGAGGGTACGCAAGGTCAGGTCGAGTGCAGGTCATCAGGTACATGAGGCAGCCCACAAGCTCTGGATACGGGCCACTCGGCTCTACGGACTCGTCCAAAGGTGGAGCTGAGAGCGAGTGACCGGTACCCATAGGAATGGACTTTGGCGAGGACCAAGTGAAGCCGAAGCGCTGAAGGATCTGCTGCACCATGTGTGACTGAGTCAAGGTGATGGTGCGGCGTGCTCTGTCCCGGGTGATCTGCACGCGTGCAGCTCACCCAGGTGTGTGCACGTGTGTCTCTTCTGCAGCTCTGACTTCACGTGGGCAAGTGCCTCAGTGTCAGCAGTGGCAAAGACCAAGTCATCGACGTACACGAGGATGTAGAACGGCGGCAGTGAAGTGTCGGTGCGCAGAAACAGCGACGGTCAACTGTCGAAGGCGCAAACCCAAGAGCCGCAAGTGTAGTCCTCAGTGTGTCGTGCCACTCACGAGGCGCCTGGCGGAGACTGTAGACTGGCCGCCGAAGGCTCCACTGGGTACCAGGAGGAAATGACCCAGTGAAGCCAGGTGGGCGGCGCAGCTAGATCTCCTCGTGCAGACTGCCCTGTAAGAACGATGTGCTGAAGTCAAGAGAGTGAAGCTCGTAGTCACACTGAGCGGCAACGTGCAGCAGCACCCGAAGAGTGGTCATCTTCGGGGTGGGGGAGAAGGTCTGGAAGAAGTCGACTCCCTCTCGCTGACTGAAGCCTCGAGCAACGTACCGAGCCTTGAAGACAGGCGGAGAACCTGGCGGCCGCTTCACCCTGAAAATCTACATGCCATCGACGATGTTCGCCCCAGGAGGGGGAACCTCATCGACGTAAGTGCCTGTGGACTTCCAGGATGCCATCTCTGCGTCCATGGCTGTCTGCCACTAAGAGGAGTAGGGACCCGCGATCGCCTCAGCGTAAGAGCGCGGGGTCGGGATGTCTGGTGCATCCGGGTCTCCCTCAGGGGCAAGCAGCATGGCCACGAGATGAGGCGCAGCGGCCGCAAGACACTCAAGGTCCTCGTGTCTGTCCTCAAGGACGTCCGTACCAAGAGCACACTCACCCTCGACGGACGGAGGACAGACAGACTCAGACTCAGCAACAAGACTAGCAGCGTAGTCTAGACGACAGGCAGCAGCAAAGTCAACAAGCTCAGCGACCAAGGCAGACGCAGCAGCAGACTCAAACGACGGGTCAGTGACAATAGTGGCTAACAGACGCGTGACAGTAGGGTGAGCAGCACGAACCAGGTCAGACTCAGGGTCCGCAACGTCAGGCAGAGAAGACGCAGGAGGAGACGGCAGGGGAACGCGCAGAGGAACAGAGGAAGGACGAAGGGACATGAAGAGCGTGCCGGGGACTGGAGGAGGACGCTCACGAGGAGCACAACGACCAGTGCGACCGGTGCGAGCAGGCGAGACAGGACGGGACGCAGGCTCGCGACGCTCAGTAAGACCTCCTGCCTGCTCAGTGTAAGGAGAAGGAGCAGGCAGTGGGGAGCCTGGCTGTAACGGGAGGCCAGTAGAAGACGGGAGGCTAAGAACCTGGTGAAGCACAGTGCCAGGTGGCGGCAGAGACGACGGTGACGGCGGAGAGAAGAACAGCCGCTGCGCAGCAGTGCCACCAGCACCAATAGCTGTAGCGCCTCCAGCAGCTCCAGAACCTCCAGCGCCAGCACCTCCAGCTCCAGCGCCACCAGCAGCAGCACCCCCAGAACCGGCACCTCCAGCTCTAGTGTCTCCAGCCTCAACACCTCCAGTAGCAGCACCCCCAGAACCGACACCTCCAGCTCCAGGGTCGACAGCACTAGCTCCAGGGGCACCAGCCTCAGAACCTCCAGCAGGAGGCAGCACCACCAGCTCCAGCAGCTCCAGTACCTCCAGTACGAGCACCTCCGGGACTGGCGGCTCCAGCACCTCCAGCAAACACAGTCCAGGCACCACTCCCAGCTCCAGTGTCAGCAGCTCCAACAGCACCTCCTGCGGCAGGGTCAGCAGTACCACTAACTCCAGGGTCCTCAGACCCTGCTGCTCCAGCGTCACCTGCTCCTCGCTCACCAGCTGCAGTGAAGTGAGCAGAAGCTCCACCAATGGCAGAGCCCCGAGCTCCAGGAGTGCGACCCTGACGGCGAGCGTACCACTCGTGTAGCTGCTGTGGGGAGAGAGGCTCACGCCGACGAGTGTGACTACGCAGGCGGCCACTCCACGGAGACAGCTCACCTGCAGTCTCAAACCCCTCAGGCTCAGTACCCCCAGACTCAGCACCCCCAGACCCAGTATCCCCAGGCTCCTCACGCTCAGGCTCTGCACCCCCAGGCTCCGCACCCCGAGGCTCAGCACCCCCAGGCTCCGCACGCTCAGGCTCAGCACCCCTAGGCTTAGTACTCTCAGGCTCAGCACCCCCAGGCTCCGCACCCCCAGGCTCAGCACCCCCAGGCTCCGCACCCCCAAGCTCAGCACCCCCAGCCGGACTACCCCCAGTAGGGCGTGAATCACCAGTGACCTCAACAGGCTCAGGCAAGGGAGGGTCTACCTGAGACATACCTGAAGGAGCAGGACCTAGAGGGGGAAGGGGGTCTACCTGGGGAGGACCTGGAGCGAGAAATAGCGGCAGGGGGGGGGAGAGGGGCAGTGCGGTAGGGAAAGAGACGGTAGAAGGGGACCGACTCGTCAAAGGTGACGTCCTAAGACGCAAAGACACGGCGCGAGGCGGGGTCGTAAAACTGCCAGCCAGGCGCGTCAGGAGGAAAGCCAAGGAAGACACAGGGAATGGCGCGAGCAGAGAGCTTGTCCGCGTTGAGATTGCGGACAAAGGCACGAGCACCCCAGACCCGGAAACGTGACGCATCGCCAACCTCCCCCGTCCAACGTAGTGTGGGCGAGGTCTCCGGCAAGGAGACACGGAGCCAGAGGTTGAGCTGATGCGCGGCGTACCGGACCGCAAACGACCACAGAAAATGGGGGGCAGCCGCATGGATCATGGAGGTACGAGCGACCTCCATGACTAAGCTAATGCGGCGCTCAGCAACCCCATTCTGCTGCGGGGAGGCCGGAAGCGTGAACGACTGGAGGATGCCCTCCTCCTCATAGAAGGCTCGCAAGAGGTCGGAGGTGAACTCACCACCTCTGTCAAAGTGCAGATTAACGCAGGACAGGAAAGTCCGAGTGGAACCGCTCGCGGAGCTGGAGACGAACAGCGCAGATCCAAGGGATCAAAACAGCAGGGACATCCCCCTTGCGCTGCAAGGGGAAGACCGTGGTGTAACGCATGTAGTCGTCGACGACCAGCAGGAAGTACTGCTCGCGGCCCTGCCCCTGGACGCGGGCGGGGCCCCACACGTCCAGGTGGAGAGTCTGCAGTGGAGCCTCTGTGGAAGGGAACGAGGAGGAGTGAGGAGCGGCGTGCTGCCGCCCCTCGACGCAAGGAATGCAGGGCGGCGCAGGCGAGGGAGGGAGGGCAGGCAGAGACCTGGGAAGACCAGAGACCAGGGAGCGAGAGTGCATGCCATGAAGGTAGGGCAGGGAGGGGTGACCAAGGCGGTGGTGCCAAAGGAGAGTCTGGTGCGACAGGCGGCGACACTCACACTGGGTAGCTACCTGAGCAAACGCGTACAGCTGAAAAGACAAAGGGGTGTAGCGCGACACAGCGGTGAGGGTGTACAAACTGGGCCCAGGCGCACGTGTGAACGTGGCCAGGTGGCGGCCGGTCCGAGAGCACGTGCAGTGCGTCACCCGCTGTCCTCCAGGAGTAAAGGTGTCAACCCAGTGATCCTGAAGGACGGCGGTGCTCACCAGGTTCGTAGAGAACGAGGGGATGTGAAGACCTGACAGCTCACCAGACGGGACCGCCGGGCACGGAAGCACAGTAGTGGACCGTGCAAGCACTGGGCCCCCAGAGGGGTCAGCCAGTGAGACAGGGACAGGTGCAGGGAGGGGAGTGACTGTCGCGAAAGAAACAGCTAGAAGCACCAGAGTCGAGTGTAAAAGTGTGCAAGGCCTGAGTCGACGCAGTACCAGAGAGAGCAGACTCACTAGCACCTAGGGCTGCAGTCTCTATACCTGGGTCAGGCGGCATACACAAGTAGCAGTCACTGCATTCATGGCAGCAAGAATCGCATCATAGTCAAGATCAAAGATAGGTACGCCACGCCTAAGCAGGTCTGACCAAGGGGGAAACTCAGTAGCGTCAGGAAACATGGCGCGCCTGGCGTCGCTAAGCCAAGAGAAGCAGCGAGACTCAGTGTGAAAGCCGTTGCATGGGCGACCAGCGCGGAGACTCATGCGAATGATATAGGGGCAGCGAACAGGACCCCCAGACGCCCCACGCTGAGCGTACCAGTCACGAAGCTGTTGAGTCGTGGGGGTCTCACGCTGACGCTGCTGCTGCTGCTGCTGCCCCTGGCCACCACTGGAGCTCCCCTTCTAGCCGGTCCCACTCCAGCCCCTTCCACCGCTGCCACCACCGCTCCCCCCTCCCCCACTACCGTCGCTGCCACCTCCACCGCCCTCGGTACCACCACCGCCCCACCCACTACCTCCACCCCCACCACCACCCCCGCCACCTCCACCTCCCCTGCCGCCCCCTCCACCGCCACCTCCTCCACCCCTGCCGCCCTTGCCCTTGGCGCCGCGGCGCTTCCCACTAGGAGCGGAAGCAGCTCCGACCTCCTTAGCACCAAGGAAGTCGACGGCAGCAGCAGCAGAGGCGTAGGAGGGGGCAAGAGGGGAGGGGGAGCACCCCTCAAAGAGGGGAGTGCGAGGAGTGCCACGAGCAGCACCTACAGCGAGGATGTTCTTTTCTGCTGCTAGGAGCTGCTGCTCGAAGTCGGCTAGAGTGAGAGTGGTAGGGTCTTTGGCGAGAAAGTGGTCCGTGACTGAACGAAGAGTGTCGGGGAGACGGGTGACAAGGAAGTAGAGGGTAAAGTACATCGGGGGGGGGGGGGGGGGGGGGGGGGGGGGGGGGGTTCTTTGAGAGGAACTCGTCTGGAAGGGTGGCACGGAAGCGAGCGTCACTAGCGCGGAGGTGAGAGATGAGGTCCTCAGCGGTGGCAAAAGAGGACAGGTCGGGGAACAGGTAGGGCAGGATGAGACGGCCCAGGGCTGCAGTGGTTGGGGAAGAGTAGCGCGCAACTACAGCGTCATACAGTGCCTTAGCAGTCTTGTGCTGGCTAAAATGCGCGCGCTCAGTGATCGGCAGATGATTGCGAATAGCGAGGTGCGCAGCTGCATCGCGAGTCTGCCACTATGAGCGTTCGAGAGCGGCAGTAGTGTCAGAAGGAGCAACGGAGGAGCCAGTCGCGTGATCGAACAGAGAAACACCGTCTTTGGCATCAGTCACAAGAAACAGTTGCAGGTCATCGAGCAAAGTGGCAAATTCTATCGGGCGACCGTCAGGCTCAAACGCAAGGACGTTGAGCGTCGCCATAATTGCAGCGCAGGCAAGGGCAGCTCGCTGGCGGCAAAGAGCAGGGCGCGGGCTGCAGGGCAAAGAGCAGGCCGGGAAAAACTGCGCGCGGGGCTGCAGAGGTGGCGCACGAGTGGCTAGGGCGGCGCGCAGGGCAGTCGCGGGCAGCGTGCAGGCTGCTGGGGCGGCGCGCAAGCGGGTAAGGCGGTGCGCGGGGCAGAAGGGGGCAATGCGCAGGCTGTTGGAGCGGGGCGCGAGCGGCTGGGGCGGCACGCAGGGCAACCGCGAGCTGCGCGCGGGCTGCCGGGGCAGTGCGCGAGCAGCGCAGGCGACACGCGGGGCAGCAGCGGGCTGCGCGCGATCTGTCGAGGCGCGGCGCGAGCAGCTAGGGCAGCGCGCGGGGCAGCAGCGGGCTGCGCGCGAGCTGCCGAGGCGCGGCGCGAGCAGCGAGGGCGACGCGCGAGGCAGCAGAGGGCGGTGCGCGGGGATTTAGGGCTGCGCGCGGGGCAGCAGCAAACAGCGCACGGGCTGCAGGACGGCGTGCGCAGCGCAGCACGTCACAGACTAGGCAAAGGCAAGGCACAGTCATAGTCACAGTCACAGTCACAATCACAATCAAGACGTGGGGTAGCGGTAGGTGGGCCCGGAAAAAACGGTCCTACGGACCTACTGCTCTGAGACCATGTCGGAATGACAGACAGGAATGAATGAACTAGCAGAAGGTTGGGTACAAGTATGAAACCCTAAAGGGGCTATACCCCATATTGGCTACCCCACTACAGCCTACATATATATCACATATATATAATTTGACATATTACATACACTTTCTATGTTTAAGTTTATTCGTTTATTGATTTTCTTATCTTCCTCACAATGCTCACGATGTCACGATGCTCACGATGTCACGATGTCACGATGCTCACGATGTCACGATGTCACGATGCTCACGATGTCACGATGTCACGATGCTCACGATGTCACGATGTCACGATGTCACGATGCTCACGATAGTCACGATGCTCACGATAGTCACGATGCTCCCGATGTCACGATGCCACGATGTAACGATGCTATGCTCACGATGTCACGATGTCACAATAATCACGACAGTCACGATAGTCACAATGCTTACGATAGTCACAATGCTCACGATGCTCACAATGGTCACGATGCTCACGATGTTCATGATATTAGTACATTCATTAGGAAAATTAGAAGCTAGATTGTTCAATGAACAGTAATACTATAACTAGATTGTTCTAAAGGTTGTAAAGATATTTTAATTTCTCCTCAACAATATAAGATAATAAAACATTAAACGCAATAGCGCAACGACGCTACGGCGCAACGCAGCAACGACGCATGGCGGAAACCATAATTTAGAAACTAGATTGTTTAATGCGCGAGAGCGTGGGTGCGTGAGAGCGCGAGTGCGGGAGAGCGCGACAACACGAATGTGCGAGTGCGCGACTACGCGAGTGCGCAACTGCGCGACTGCGCGAGCGCGCGACTACGCGAGTGCGGAACTACGCGAGAGCGCGACTGCGCGATACCGCGACTACGCAAGAGCACGACTGCGCGGAGCGCGAGAGCGCGAGTGCGCTAATGCACGAGCGCGCGAGTGCGCGAGCGCGAGACAGCGCGAGAGCGCGAGTGCGTGACTGCGCGAGTGCGCGACTGCGCGAGTGTGCGAGTGCGTAACAGCGCGAGTGCACGATAGCGTGAGCGGGCAAGTGCGCGACTGCGCGAGTGCAAAACTGCGCGCATGCGCGACAGCGCGGAGCGCGAAAGCTCGAGTGCACGAGAGCGCGAGTGCGCGAGTGCGCGAGCGCGCAAGTGCGCGAGTGCGTGAGAGCGCGACAGCGCGAATGCGCGACTGCGCGAGAGCCCGATAGCGCAAGTGCGCGAATGCGTGACAGCGCGAGTGCGCGAGTGCGCGACAGCGCGAGTGCGTAACAGCGCGAGTGCGCGACGGCGCGAGCGTGCAAGTGCGCGACTAAGCGTGCACGACTACGCGAGTGCGGGAATGCGCGATTGTGCGACTGCGCGAGAGCGCGTCTGCGCGGAGCGCGAGAGCTCGAGTGCACGAGAGTGCGAGTGTGCTAGTGCGCGAGTGCGCGGGAGCGCGATAGCGCGAATGCGTGATTGCGTGAGAACGCGACTGCGCGAGTGCGCGACTGCACAAGCACAAGAGCGCGAGTGCACGAGAGTGCGAGAGTGCGAGTGCGCTTGTGCGCGAGTGCGCGAGAGTGCGAGTGAACGAGAGCAGGAGCGCGATTGCGCTAGTGCGCGAGTGCGCGACAGTGCGAGAGCACGAGCGCGCAAGTGCGCGACAGCGCGAGTGCGCGAGAGCGCGCACGACGCAACAGTGCAACGGTTTAACGGCGCAAGGTATTGTTTCCTAGACACAATGTTTGTGCCTAGTCAAGATGTGTTTGAATATGCTTATAAAATTTCATTGAACAATCTAGTTTCTAAATTACCAGTTTAAATAATTCTAAAGGATCTTTTCAGATTGTGTAAATTTATAGAAAGTTGTTTGATTATTACATACTCTTTCTATGTTCTTGTTCGTTGTTTCTTTCTATGTTGTTGTTTCTATGTTTTTGTTTTATGTTGTTTGTGTTTGTTGTTTCTTTTATTTTCTTATCTTGCTCACGATGCTCACGATGTCACGATGCTCACGATGTCACGATGCTCACGATGTCACGATGCTCACGATGTCACGATGTCACGATGCTCACAATAGTCACGATGCTCACGATGTTTTGCTGTTGCGGTTCGATACAGTGATGACTTGGGCAACCGCTCAATAACGAGTCAGTTGTGTGTCCTTGCTGTCGCGCTGTATTTGTCGAGTCAAAGGTCAGCGACCTTTGACCTTCGCGTAACCTCCGGCTGTTACCATTTTGTCAACCTCCTCGGTTGACTCATTGATGTTCCGTTGTAGTTCGCTTCTTTACGGTTCGGTGTTTGCCCTGTCCAGTCAGCAGCATGCAGTATTCGAACTTCTGCCTTCCAAGTTTCTTGGTCAAATAGTCGGCTGCCATCTCGGATGTAGGGCAGTATGCCAGCTCAAGTCTCCCCTTCTCGATTTCGTCCTTTACGAAGAAATATCGCAGGGCAATATGCTTTGTCCTGTTTGCGAACCCATTCTTGTTGGCGATGCGAATTGCTGATTGATTGTCGCAGAACAGGGAGAAGCTGGGTAACTCAGCCAGCTTCGCGTCTTCCAGTAGTTCGCGAAGATACAAGCCTTCCTTCGTGGCTGAGCAGAGTGCGATAGATTCTGCTTTGGCTGAAGAGAGAGCGATTAGTTCCTGCTTGCTCGACTGCCATGAGATAGGCCCGATAGGCTCGAAGCGGTAGATGTAGCCGGTGCGTGAGCGCCTGTTGCTGGAGTCGCCGGCGTGGTCAGCGTCGACGTAGCTGATTAACTTAGGTGGCGTGGTTCCGGTCTTGTGATAAGTTAGGCCGATCGTCGGGGTGCTGACGAGGTAGTGAAGTGCGCGGTCGAGCTCCGCCATGTGCTCTGCTTCGGGTTTCTTGAGGTAGGTAGCGAGCTGGCTTGCCGAATACGATAGGTCTGGTCGGCAGGTGACAGAGGTTTCCTTGGAGTTTCCGGCGGTGTAGCGGTATGGCGTGGAGATGATAGTTGGTGAAAGTCCGAAGCGTTTGGCGATGGTGTCGGCGTATTTTGCGGCGCTGAGGTAGATTGCGTTCTCCTCCTCTTGGATGTTGAGGCTGAGGTATTGCGTCACGGTAGACGAGACCGTGAGCGTGAGGTCTTGTTGCAGCTCCCCTTCGAACCAGGTTGTAACGTCATCGGTTGAGCCGATGTAGAGTAGATCATCTACGTAGACGATCAGCAAAATGTAGTCGGTGCCCTTTGTGAGTCGGTACATGCCCTGGTCGTGCGGTAGCTGGCGGAATCCGATGCGGATGAGTCGGGCGTGTAGGTACTGCTGCCACAGTCTTGGCGCCTGTTTGATGCCATACAGGGACTTCAACAGTTGACACACTTTGTTAGGGTCTGGGTTAGTGCCGCGTGGCTATTCGACGAAGATTTCTGCATCGACGGGCGCGTAGAGAAAAGCGTTAGCGACGTCGATTTGCCGAAGTTTCTTCCGCTTCATGGCGGCGATCGCGAAGAGAATTTGCAGTGAAGTGTGCTGGCTAACCGGCGCGAACGTTTCGGTGAAGTCCCGTCCGTGCTCCTGGTCGAATCCACGTACGACCCAGCGCGCCCTAAACTTGTTGATGGTGCCGTCTGCTTTGGTTTTCACACGGAAAACCCATTTTCCGGTGAGTACCGTTTTGTTGCGTGCCACTCCGATGGGAACAACCTTCCAAGTATTCCGTTCTTCCAATGCCTTCAATTCTTTGTCCATGGCTTCGCGCCATTTTTCCCTGATCTCCCCCCCAGAGCCTGCTGAACTGTGGCAGGCTCCTTAGGCGGTGCTGCTCCGTGGACCGCGGTGACAAGTCCCAGTATCTGCAGTCCACTCTGTGAGAGTCGGGG